TGCTCCGTTTGCATAACAGAGCGCACGGACTAAGATCACACAGGTACGTATTAACTAGTCTAAGGTAAGGTAAGAACATATGTCAGTATGTAAAAACGGTGAACTATTCCTTTAAAAGGCACAAATTGAATAAATCTCAAGGTTCCGACGGCTACAATGCTGACTGGTACAAGATATACCTGGAAGAACTTTCACCTCTACTCCTTAAGACATTTAACTGGGTTTTGAACGGGGGTCAAATCCCACCCACTTGGAAAGAGACCATTATCACAGTTATCCCAAAGGATGGTCAAATTGCTCAAATTTCAGACCCATTAGTTTACTGAATCAGGATTATAAGATCTTCACCTCCATCTTGGCCAAAAGACTGGAAAATATTCTCCCGGACATTTCACCTTGGAGAGACCCACGAGGGAAAATGCAGTTAGAAGTTTAAGATTAAGCATGTTTGGCGCCCTAGGCCCGGGAGAGATGCTGTTGAGCGCGGCGCTTGCTCGCGCGCATAATTCCCCCCGGGGCCTAGGCACTGGTGACGGCAGAGGCAGTAGGCAAGCACGCTTCGATGAGAAAAGGAGGAGGTGGGGCGGCGGAGGCTTGCAGACTTTAGAAGGCCGGGAAGTAGGCGTCTCCGGCTTTTAACTTGCTGTCCTGGTGGTTATTGGTTGATTAGATGTGGGCGTTGCTGGTATGATGAGTCGAGGATGAGCAGGCTTGTAGATCTGGGCAAGCAGCAGCCGGGTCTACCACAGTGAACTTTCGCGAAAGCTCCATAATAAGTTTGGACCAGACAGGCTTTATCAAGGAGAGGAAAACTAGAGATAATATAAGACGCACACTACATGTGATTCATCAAATACAGAAAGATAATAAACCAGCTGTTGTTTTGGGTCTGGACGCACAAAAAGCATTTGACACTGTAGATTGGGCTTTTCTTTATAAAGTACTTTCCAAATTTAACTTTACCGAAAAGTTTATTAAAAAATATACAAGGATTATATAACAAACCTATAGGGAAAATTAGAATAAATGGAGGTCTATCAAATCCTCTAAATATTGAACAAGGTTGTAGACAGGGCTGTCATTTATCTCCCATTTTATTTGCCATTTCAATCTGGAGAGACTCAGAAGACAAAATGCAGTTTGAATGTTTTTATTGATAGGTAGTTTGGCGTCCTAGGCCCCTGTGCGGCAATTAGGGCCAGCGAGGCTCCTGCTTAGTGCGCGCACGACCCCCCCGAGGCCTAGGAACTGGTGGTGGCATTAGGGCAGCAGGAAAGAGCGCACGCTCGAGCAAGAGAGAGGCGGAGGAGGGGAGGCGGTGGTTTGCGAGGCTTGAGAAGGCCGTGAAGTGGGAGTCTCCGCTTTTAAGCTGCTTGCCTGGCCTGCATAGGTTGGCTGGGAATGGGCGTTTGCTGTGCGATAGGCCGAGGATGAGAGGCAGGCTTGGAGGAGATAGCTTTGGCAGTCAGTCTACCAGAGTGAACCTTCGCGAAGCTCCATTTTTATTGAGCCCCTGGCACAATATATCAGACAAAATAGAAAGATAAAAGGCATCAAAGTAAAGGAGAAGGAACAGAAGATTGCCCTGTTTGCTGATGATGTCCTAGTTTACTTGGCTAAACCCACCGAATCTCTTCCTGAACTGCATAAAGTTTTAATGGAATTCAGCAACATCTCAGGCTATAGATTAAATTCTCATAAACCACAAGTATTGACATTCAACTACAACCCAGACGATCCCATAACTAAAATATTTAAAATCAATTGGTGCATGGACTCAATAACATACTTGGGAGTACATATTCCAAAGGACATACAAACTTTAAAGTCAATAAACTACGATCCACTTATTGCTAAAATTAAAACTGATTTGGATAGATGGAGCCTGTTCAACTTGGAGAGACTACAAGAGACGAGATGCGTTTAAGAGTTGTTTATTTTATGGATTGAGTTTGTTTATTGGTTTGGAGCTTAGGCCCCGGCTGTGGCCGTGCTCTGAAGAGATCTGCGCCTGGGTGCAGATCATGATCCCCCGGGGCCTAGACACTGGTGGTGGCAACAAGGCAAGGTGAATGTGAGAGTTAAGATTCCTGAGGCGGAGGTGGGGAGGAGGTGGTTGCAGCTTGAAGTCCGTTTGGTGAGCTGTGCTCTGCTTTGCTCTTAAACGCTGGCTTGATTGACACGGCTGCGGGGAGTTGATTAAGACAGGCTGAGTAAGGCGTGGTCAAGCCTTGTGTGATAACGTAGGTAGTCTACCATGCTGAACCTCCGCTTAAGCTCCATTTCAACTTGGAGAGACTACAAGAGACGAGATGCGTTTAAGAGTTGTTTATTTTATGGATTGAGTTTGTTTATTGGTTTGGAGCTTAGGCCCCGGCTGTGGCCGTGCTCTGAAGAGATCTGCGCCTGGGTGCAGATCATGATCCCCAAAAAGAGAGCTTGGCTAGCGATGCGTTTGCCATGACTTGGTTGCTGCGTTTATGGAAGGCGCATGGTGAGAGTGACTGTTTCCGTGCGCGAGCTCGGCTCTAGCGCTAGGCGTTGGCACGCGCACGAGCTCGGCTCGAGTGTGCGGCGTAATGTCCGTGCGCGAGCTCGGCTCTAGCGCCAGGCGTTGGCACGCGCACGAGCTCGGCTCAAGTGCGCGGCGTAATGTCCGTGCGCGAGCTCGGCTCTAGCGCTAGGCGTTGGCACGCGCTCGGCTCAAGTGCGCGGCGTAATGTCCGTGCGCGAGCTCGGCTCTAGCGCTAGCACGCGCACGAGCTCGGCTCAAGTGCGCGGCGTAATGTCCGGGCGCGAGCTCGGCTCTAGCGCTAGGCGTTGGCACGCGCACGAGCTCGGCTCAAGTGCGCGGCGTAATGTCCGTGCGCGAGCTCGGCTCTAGCGCTAGGCGTTGGCACGCGCACGAGCTCGGCTCAAGTGCGCGGCGTAATGTCCGTGCGCGAGCTCGGCTCAAGCGCTAGGCGTTGGCACGCGCACGAGCTCGGCTCGAGTGCGCGGCGTAATGTCCGTGCGCGAGCTCGGCTCAAGCGCTAGGCGTTGGCACGCGCACGAGCTCGGCTCAAGTGCGCGGCGTAATGTCCGTGCGCGAGCTCGGCTCTAGCGCTAGGCGTTGGCACGCGCACGAGCTCGGCTCAAGTGCGCGGCGTAATGTCCGTGCGCGAGCTCGGCTCAAGCGCTAGGCGTTGGCACGCGCACGAGCTCGGCTCGAGTGCGCGGCGTAATGTCCGTGCGCGAGCTCGGCTCAAGCGCGAAAGGGCATTGTTGGTTTTGGACTGGGCGGGGAGGGGTAGAAGTTGGAGAGTGTTAAAATAGGCGTTGGCACGCGCACGAGCTCGGCGCACACACACACCACCACAGTTTCAATCTGACTAGAGTCTGGAGGCGAGGAGAGAGCTGAACAGATGGGGGCCTCCAGAGGTTGTACGCAGAAGCGCGAGCTCGCCCGAGTCCGGGTCACTATGTGCACTTGCATCTGAACCGCGTTGGAGCCGGGCAGAAACATTTTAGAGCAGGGCCAAATTCTCTAGCCAAAAGGGGATGTACCCACCAACGTTGGGTGGACATCTTCCGGAAGCAGGTATCTCTACCACAGGCTTTCCGCCAAAAGCACTCCAATGTCAACATGGAACAACACCACTTCCGAGCACGCAGCCAGACAGCCAGGCGGTTGAAAGCCGAGTGTCTTGCTGAATGCTTCTGCACTGCTAGTGCTAGGTAGGGCCCAGAAGAATGACGGTGTCGGCCCGCATTGTGCTAAAGCCAGCTGCACACCGCGGCGACTTAGAGCTTCAACACCTTGGACTGTTTTCCAGCCGAACGTCATTACCACGCGCTCGTGAATAAAAATTCGAACGAAACGGCTGCTTGTTGGTTCATCATGAAGCTCAGATTCCCTTCAATATCACCAAGCCTGGCCCCAGGGAAGCACCGAACATTGGACTCCTGGGATCTTAACACCTCTAACAATGGAGGCAGACCAATTACCATGCATCAGCGACTCCATCGGCTCTTCAGCGGCTCTCTCAGTGGGCCTTCTTCCCTCGGCCGAGGCCGGTGCGGGGGCGCAGCCGGACAGAGCGTCCCACCGCGATTGTAAATGCTAACAGGAGAGGCCCAATGTGAAACTACCAACAAACACGTTCCCCTAGGAGCTCCGAACATCACAAAGCCAACACTATCCTGGTCATGTCCCCAGTGCGGAGGACGAGCTGGGAGGCTAGGCACTACTAGCCGCTAAGTTCTCCTCTCCTTTCCCGAAAGCCGCGCTCACTCGTACCTGAGATAACGGCCTGGCTGAGCTAATGCTAGCGCTAGCTTGTGACTCCAGTCTCTGAGACGCAGCACTAAACTCACTGACACCTAGAGATTCCCCAGACTACGACTACACTTCACACATCAATCACTACCCTCAGAGAAAGGATCGAGGTTTAGGAACTCCGCCATGATGGCAACGATCGAGCAGTAAAGGACTGAGGGATGAAAAGCAGCCGCATAGAGTAGCGAGTTAGCGCTAGGCTAGGGCTAAGCTAGTCCGGATCCGGGCCCCGCACACAGACATCCGAACCAAGAACAACAACCGCTACCTAAGGGGGGGGAGGGGCCGGTGCGGGGGGGGGGGGGGGGGGGGGGACTGCAGTACAGCTGGCCTCAGAAGTGCTACACCATCTTACGTGGTTTTTTTAGTGGCAAAACCAAGCCCCGCAATTCAAGAGGCGCCCCGATACAAATGAATGGTTGTGCTCCTGGCGATAGTGGTGGTGTGGGGACGGGGGCGGATGGGGGCTGAGGAAAAAGGGAGTGGGGGAGGGGGGCGGTGGGGGTGGGGGGGGGGGGGGGGAGGGGGGGGAGTGGGGGGGCCTGAAACTCGCACATCTTTGGGATAACGGGGGGGGGGGGGGGGGGGGTAGAGGGAGATGGGGGAAGGGGGGAAATGGTTTTGGGGGGGTTAGAGAGGGATTTGAGGGGGTATTGGTGGGGGTTTGATAAGAAGTGGTGGTATGTGGGGTGTTTGGGGATTGAGGAGGGGGAAGAAAAGGGTGGAGAGTGTGGGTGGGTGGAGAGATAATGTAGGGGGGGGGGGAGGGGGGGAAAGGGGATTTATAGAGGGGGGGGGGGGGGGGGGAGATATTGGTTTGGGTTGTTGGGTTGTGGGTGTTTGGGTGTGTTGTGTGGTGTGGTTGGGTGGGTGGGTGGTGGGGTGGGGGGGGGGGGGGGGTGGGGTTGTGGGGGGGGGTTGGGGGGGGGGGGTGGGTGGGGGGGGGGGGTTTTGGTTTGGTGGGTTGTATATATATGGTTTTTGGTGTTGGGTGGGGGGGGGGGGGTGGGGTGTGGGTGTGGTGAGGGGGGTTGTGATGGGTGAAAAGTGGGGGTTTTGGGAGGAGGGGGGGTAAATTGGTGGGTGAGAGGGGGGGATGAGATGTAATGTTGAAAAGGGGTGATAGGTGGGTGGATAGTTTGAGTGTCTCTCTGGTCTCTCTCTTGTCTCTCCTCTGGTCTCTTTCCTGTCTCTCTCTGGTCTCTCTGGTCTCTCTCTTGTCTCTCTGGTCTTTCTCTTCCGCCTCCGTCGAGCAAAGACGTGTCTCAGACGCTCCTGCTTCTGACTGCTGCTATCTCCTGTTTTTGTCTTTTTCCTGGAGTTTTGCCACAGACAACTTTAGCAAGAATGGAAATGATTAATTGGTCCCTCAACGCAATTGATTCTATCTTTTCAACACGTAAGCGTGGGTCTGGAGAGCCCGTGTGCCCGGACGGGACTTCACCTGCGGGATATACGCTTGACAGCTGGTACAAGTGGCAGCCCCTCTGTCTGTCGACCCTGTCCATTGAAGATTCGGAAGACGTATATATCTTTGGCATTTTGGTGGTGGGAATCCTCCTGTTTGGGTTTGGAGCGGTTCTCTTCTACCATAAATTCGGAGGCATGGCAGTTCGCAAGATTCACGACCTGCTGGCCAACAAAATTGATGGGTACAAGGAGCTTAGCCGCGTCGTGGTTGAGAGTGCCGTGTCTGGTCAAAGAAGAGTGGTTTTGGTGGAACAGTTGATAAAAGATCTCGCAGCTCGTTCACTCGAAGGGAATAAAACTCTGGAGTTGAGATTGAATGACATTGTGTGTCAGGCTTGAACTCTCTGACCCGGCTTGGATTTGCCCCTGTGTACGGAGGTCTGAGGGCGCCGCAATTCGGTTTAATTGGATTTAATAGAATATCTGCCTGTTTTTGTCTGTTAAAATGCATACAATATTGTCCCTCGTCACAGGATGATGTTTTTTTTCTCCTGCTGTGTCTTCTCTCCACTCTTATCTCACATTCCTCGGCCAAGGCCATAATAACAAGGTCCCATCTACAACAACTCACACTATTTCAGTTAAGTCCAGCTCGGATCCCTCACCCCCGCCTCCCTCTACCTATCCATCTTGCTCCCTCCCTCCCCTCCACTCCTCATTGTGTTTCCGACTCACCCCCTCCCTGACCCCGCCCAACTCTGACAGCCACATTGGGCCGGCTGTCGGAGGTGCTCATCCCGAGAAAGAAAATCCGTGGTTTATACAAAGCACAATGTGTCTATCCAATGTCTGTGTAACCTGTATGTTATTGCTCTCTGCTGTTTATTCTACTGTTTGTCGCATGGCGCCGGAAAGATGGCGCCGTGGCAAGAGCTCTGGTGTGTGTCGTCTTCTCTGTCTGGTGCACACCGGGGTAGTCTTGCACAGTTTTTCCAATGTGGTTTTACTGCAAATGGCAAATAAATGAATCTGAATCTGAATCTGAATCTCTCTGGTCTCCCTCTGGTCTCTCTGGTCTCTCTCTGGTCTCTCTCTGGTCTCTTTCCTGTCTCTCTCTGGTCTCTCTCTGGTCTCTCTCTGGTCTCTCTCTGGTCTCCCTCTGGTCTCTCTGGTCTCTCTCTGGTCTCTCTCTGGTCTCTCTCTGGTCTCTCTCTGGTCTCTTTCCTGTCTCTCTCTGGTCTCCCTCTGGTCTCCCTCTGGTCTCTCTGGTCTCTCTGGTCTCTCTCTGGTCTCTCTCTGGTCTCTCTGGTCTCTCTCTGGTCTCTCTCTGGTCTCTCTGGTCTCTCTCTGGTCTCCCTGTGGTCTCTCTGGTCTCTCTGGTCTCTCTGGTCTCTCTCTGGTCTCTCTCTGGTCTCTTTCCTGTCTCTCTCTGGTCTCTCTCTGGTCTCTCTCTGGTCTCTCTCTGGTCTCTCTCTGGTCTCTCTCTGGTCTCTCTCTGGTCTCTCTCTGGTCTCTCTCTGGTCTCTCTGGTCTCTTTCCTGTCTCTCTCTGGTCTCTCTCTGGTCTCTCTGGTCTCTCTCTTGTCTCTCTCTGGTCTCTCTTTGGTCTCTCTGGTCTCTCTCTTGTCTCTCTCTGGTCTCTCTCTGGTCTCTCTCTGGTCTCTCTCTGGTCTCTCTCTGGTCTCTCTGGTCTCTCTCTGGTCTCTCTGGTCTCTCTCTGGACTCTTTCCTGTCTCTCTCGGGTCTCTCTCTGGTCTCTCTGGTCTCTCTCTTGTCTCTCTCTGGTCTCTTTCCTGTCTCTCTCGGGTCTCTCTCTGGTCTCTCTGGTCTCTCTCTGGTCTCTCTCTGGTCTCTCTGGTCTCTCTCTGTTCTCTCTGGTCTCTCTCTGGTCTCTCTGGTCTCTCTCTGTTCTCTCTGGTCTCTCTCTGGTCTCTCTCTGGTCTCTCTCTGTTCTCTCTGGTCCCTCTCTGGTCTCTCTCTGTTCTCTCTGGTCTCTCTCTGGTCTCTCTGGTCTCATGTCCTCAGGCTGGGATCGTCTCCTCGTCCTCTGAGGACAAACTGTTGATTGCTCTGGAGCCAGAGGCTGCTTCAGTTTGGTGCAAACAGCTTCCAGCCAAAGGCTTCATCAGAGACGGACAGGAGCGAGTGCAGCTGCAGGAGGGCGAGCAGTACGTGGTCCTGGACTGTGGAGGTAACGTGACGGTCACCATGACAACAGGTCATACTAGAACAGCTGTAAGGATCTTCTGTGTTTCAGGAGGAACCATCGACATTACAGTTCATGAAGTCCTTGAAGGGGGAGCCCTTAAAGAGCTGCACAAAGCATCAGGAAACAACAAAGGAGGACGAAGAGTGAACAAGAGGTTTAACCAGTGTCTGAGAGAGTTCTTCTGTGGCGGTCTGTGGGAAGACTACGAGAGAGAGTTTCCCAAAGAGGCTCAGACGTTTGTGGAGGATTTAATTTACCATGCGGCCCCACAGAGCCGTGTTTATAAGACCCACATCGACAGAAGTTTAAGGCAAAAGTTAAAAAGGATCGAAAAGTCTCAGGAAGAGGGCGACTCTCTGTTCAAACCCATGGAAGGTGTGGAGCTGGAGGGGGACAAACTGAGCGTCTCAGAGAAGAAGATGGAGTCTTTCTTCCATGAGAGTCTGGTCCACATCACTGACAGTCTGTGCGAGATCCTGGACTCACATTCTCAGATACAGTACATTCTGTTAGTGGGAGGTTTCTCTCAGAGCAGGATCCTCTGTGACCATGTGCGCCAACAGTTCAGTGACCGGGCCAGAGTGCTGTGCCCTAAGAACCCTCAGGAGGCCATTCTGAAGGGAGCTGTGGTGTTCGCACGAGACCAGGCGGTCATCCGCTCTCGCAAGAGCGCATTCACGTACGGCTACATCAAGATGCGCAGGTTTGATCCAAGAATACATAAACCAGAGAAGAAGTTGACCAACGCCGACGGGGACTGGTGTGACGACCTGTTTGGAAAACTAGTGGAAATAGGTGAAGATGTGGGATGGAACCAAAGTGTAGAATACATATTAAAGCCAATCACAGAAAATCAAACAGTCATGGATTTTGAGTTCTACCGCACTGAGAGGAAGTCTGTGACATACGTGGATGAGTGGGGGGTGGAGGGTCCTGTGGCCTGCTGTACTGTGGCCATGCCAGACACCAGCAAAGGCATGGATCGGTCGGTCAAACTGGAGGTGTTCTTTGGCTCCACTGAGATCAGAGCAAAGGCCACAGACCTGGAGTCGAACTGCACTGCTTCTGTCAAAATAGACTTCATCGGGAAATGAACGATGATGTCATGAAGAACGTGAGGTTCCTTCAGTCTGTCCTTTGAACTGGAGCTTCTGTCTGGTTTGTCTGGTTTTTGTAGTGTCTCCAGGTCCTGGTCCTTTCCGGTCCTGGTCCTCTCCGGTCCTGGTCCTCTCCGGTCCTGGTCCTCTCCGGTCCTGGTCCTCTCTGGTCCTGGTCCTCTCCGATCCTGGTCCTTACACATAACGCCAAACAAAGCTGCTGACTGTGCCTTTAAACTTAAATGTTGGATCATATTTAAGACAGTTGGAGCAGATCCTTCTCTCAATGTGAGCCTCTTTGAGGTTTCTCACTTTCTCTCTCTGGGTTTTTAAGTTGTTCAGGATTAGTATGACCTGTGGACCTCTAGTGATTTGTGTTCATTACGGAGGAGGCCTGAGATCTCAGTCCGTGTGTTGTGTCTGTGATTCATAAGAACATGTCCAAACACAGATGATTCTGAGGTCTGTGTCGCTGTGACTGATACTTTCACTTTCACTTTAGCCGTGACTGCTGTGTCCCACAGAAGGTCATTAAACAACAGTTTAAAGCACCAACAAAGTGAAACTGAAACTTCATGTTTCAATCTGATGATGCAGTCGCTTTTAAGATATTCTGTTGCTTCTTGAATCGTTCTATTAAATCTGCAAAGCACAGGTACAGGACAAGTTTAAGGAACAGGTTAAATGTATTTATTTGATGTAAATAAATAACAGTTACATTGGACAGACCAGATGCCTTTAGTGTTAGAGCAAGACCAGGCTAGTTTTCAACACTTGTCCACAGAAGGCTTTTAGGACACAAATGCACACATTTAAAATGTACAAATATAAAAGTAATTAAATATACAGTTCATTAACCATGTGAACAACGTTTCAGATGTTTCAGATGTCTTCAGTTTCAGACGTCTGACGAAGATGTTTTTGTCTGTTTGTAGTTTTAGGTCAGTGGGAAGAGCATTCCACAGTTTGATTCTGTTGTAGAAATTTAACAGGGATTATAAATCAATTTAACTCAATAATGAATCTAATAATGAATCATGCACTCTGGGACAAAGGTCAATCTGACAATCTATTGATTTTGTAGAAGCGCGAGGCCAGGGACGGGAGAGGGAGAGATGCTAGCTTGGAATCTGGTCCAAGGAGCACGGTGCCCCGGTCATTCTACTCGTAATATCAGAGTCATATCAGAGTCATATCAGAGTCATATCAGAGTCGTATCAGAGTCGTATCAGAGTCGTATCAGAGTAATATCAGAGTCATATCAGAGTCTTATCAGAGTAATATCAGAGTCATATCAGAGTCGTATCAGAGTCGTATCAGAGTAATATCAGAGTCATATCAGAGTCATATCAGAGTCATATCAGAGTCATATCAGAGTCGTATCAGAGTCGTATCAGAGTCGTATCAGAGTCGTATCAGAGTCATATCAGAGTCGTATCAGAGTCGTATCAGAGTCGTATCAGAGTCGTATCAGAGTCGTATCAGAGTCGTATCAGAGTCGTATCAGAGTAAGACGTCAGGAGAGAGCGGTTTTGAGCGACTGTTACCACTTCATCTCGGACTAAGAGACTCCAATTGATAGACTCTTTTGTTTGTTCCATCCTTTAAATACGGGAGAGAGTGAGCAGTCGTCAGATCTACTCGAGACCCGCCACGCGGTTGACGGTTGTATTTCCTGTATATGTACATTCAGGGTGCGATTTGTCAAAAAAACAGAAGGGGGGATAGTTACTCAATCACTTTATTGCATAAAAATCACATACATTTCATGCTGTTGAACTTGAAACTTGTAAGATGTGTTCTGTCTAGTAGTAACTCAGTGTGAGTGTGTGCACGTGCGTGTGTGTGTGTGTGTGTGTGTGTGTGTGTGCGTGTGTGTGTGTGTGTGCTTGGCGCAAGCGTGAGTGTGCGCGCTGCTGGTGGAGCGAGCAGAGGGTGAAGTTGATGCCTCTGCGTGCAGGGCGTCCGGAGAAAATTAGGGAGCGAGACGAGTGTTTAACGTGACATTACGGCCCAAACTCGAAAACAACAAACTGGTGTGCTTATTAGAGTCACACACACTAACAGTAAACCCTGTTGGAGAAAGAGTCCTCCAAGACGCATGAACTAACGGATGCCTGAACTTTGAACATATGTTCTTATTTGTTTTAACAAAACAGTCTGCTCTGATTATTCATTTGCGGTGCTTTTTTTGGCTTTCCTGTGGGTTGATCGTTCGCTGCGTGCCGCCCCTCATTTTTTATCCACATCTCAGCATACACATGAGCAGGGAAGGAGGTTATGTCAGGCCCATTGATTGAAAGAAACAGGAGAGCATTCAATGTGCATATTTGCATTCTATTCCTTTCGTCTGTAAGTGCGCGGTTCATTGCGCTGAATCCGCGCTCGCATTCTGCAGTTGACACCGGCAACGTAGAGACAGCGGTGAGGATGTACTGCATGCGTGCACCTGTCACCAGAAGGGGGGAAAATCCCCCCATCCCCCCCAGCAAATCGCACCCTGTGTACATTTACTGAAATAATAAACCACACTTTCATTGTTTTACTCTGGTTCTGGTGTTCGGAACCAGACAGTCCCCACTGACCGAGGCTCTGGTGTTAGGAACCAGACAGCCCCCACTGACCGAGGTTCTGGTTTTCGGAATCAGACAGCCCCCACTGACCGAGGCTCTGGTGTTAGGAACCAGACAGCCCCCTCTGACCGAGGCTCTGGACTTAGGAACCAGACAGCCCCCTCTGACCGAGGCTCTGGACTTAGGAACCAGACAGCCTCCACTGACCGAGGCTCTGGTGTTAGGAACCAGACAGCCCCCACTGACCGAGGCTCTGGTGTTAGGAACCAGACAGCCTCCACTGACCGAGGCTCTGGTGTTAGCAACCAGACAGCCCCCTCTGACCGAGGCTCTGGTGTTAGGAACCAGACAGCCCCCTCTGACCGAGGCTCTGGTGTTAGGAACCAGACAGCCCCCTCTGACCGAGGCTCTGGACTTAGGAACCAGACAGCCCCCTCTGACCGAGGCTCTGGACTTAGGAACCAGACAGCCTCCACTGACCCAGGCTCTGGTGTTAGGAACCAGACAGCCCCCACTGACCGAGGCTCTGGTGTTAGGAACCAGACAGCCCCCACTGACCGAGGCTCTGGTGTTAGGAACCAGACAGCCCCCACTGACCGAGGCTCTGGACTTAGGAACCAGACAGTTTCCACTGACCGAGGCTCTGGTGTTAGCAACCAGACAGCCCCCACTGACCGAGGCTCTGGTGTTAGGAACCAGACAGCCCCCACTGACCGAGGCTCTGGTGTTAGGAACCAGACAGCCCCCACTGACTGAGGCTCTGGTGTTAGGCCTTCGAGAGCCTTGGCGTCTGACAGACCAGAGAGCAGCGGTGGAACGTGACCAGTTAAACATTTAAAAAACCATTTCATTGTGCAAAAGCTTACAAAATGTTCAAATGTTAAAAGTTTATGTTTTTTAATGATGTGACCTCAAAGGTTTCCTGTCGTAGACCTTGATGGTTGTACAGGGAGTTTAGAGTTGTCTGTGGAGTTTGCGACCACGAGGTCAGGCAACAGGAGAGATGTGAAAATATCATTCCGACAGTCATACGACAGCTCTCTTCTTTTGAAGCGGAAGCAGCTCAAGTTTGACTTGACTGTTTTACACACACTTTTCACCTGACTTTGGAACTTTAAATTGTTGTCAGATTATTCCTAAATACTTGGTCTCTTTCACCTCTTCAATTATTTCATTGTCTATAAATGTCTCAAACAAAATATTTGACGATTGTGCTTTAGTTGAGAAACAAATTGAAACATTTTTTTGACCTTTAAAGTCAATTGTGATTGTTGAAGCCAAGTTGAAATATTTACCAAGGCTTCAGTCAACTGCTGCCCAGCTAGAGCAGAGATCTTTGCCGGCACGTGAATAACTGAGTCATCTGCATAGAGCTGGCAGTTGAAACCATGACAACAGTTTGGGAGGTCATTTATGTACATAGAAAACAGCAGTGGTCCTAACACGGAGCCTTGCGGTACTCCCGTGTACTTCAGGGCTTCAGTTTTTTCAATAAAACACTGTGGTCCACAGTATCAAACTTTTTAAGATCTAAAAACACAGCACCAACCACTTGACCTTTGTCTACACTGTTCTTGATCTGTTCCAGCAGGTGACAGTTCGCTGTTTCCGTGCTGTATCTTTGTCTAAACCCAAACTGTAGGGGATGGAGCAGCTGCTTTGACTCTACCAGTTGTTCTGCAACTACCTTCTCCAAGATTTTAGAAACAACAGGAAGGATGGAAATAGGCCTGTAGGCCTGTGTTAGGCGTGTCCTTTTGGCCTGTCTTGAGGATCGGTGTCACTACAGCCGTTTTCCAGCAACTTGGGAATGTATTGGACCGGATTGACAGATTTACCAGATGTGTGATGGGCTCTAACAGAGTATCTGTGTGTTTTTAATCAGTCCCAAAGACCTGTGCTCTGCCAACTGACCTACTGTCCCTACTTTAAATATTCCTAAATACTTGGTCTCTTTCACCAAGATCTAAGATCATGGATGTCTTTTGACATCGAGTTGCTCATGTTCATCTTGATTTTTATTTAACTTTGTCACGAGACACCTTCTTTATGCAAAATAAATGCAAGTTCATTCACAGAATCAATAAAGACATTGTTCAGAGCTTCTGCCATGGACTGGTTTGATTATGTCTCCTCGTGAAGGGACGGGTTAAAGGGACGGGTTAAAGGGACGGGTTAAAGGGACAGGTTAAAGGGACGGGTTAAAGGGACGGGTTAAAGGGACAGGTTAAAGGGACGGGTTAAAGGGACAGGTTAAAGGGACGGGTTAAAGGGACAGGTTAAAGGGACAGGTTAAAGGGACAGGTTAAAGGGACATGTTAAAGGGATGGGTTAAAGGGACATGTTAAAGGGACGGGTTAAAGAGATTCCATGGTTGTTCAATCAGGTCCCTTCTCCATGACTCAGCAGAAAGTCCAGCGGGTCTGATCCAGGACCTCAGTCCGGAAAGCCCCAGACCCGGACGACATCCCTCCTCGGGTCCTGAAACTGTGCTCCTGTTTTTACAAACATTTTCAACCTGTCCCTAAAGAACTGTCTGTGCTTTAAAGAGTCGACCATCACAGAAGGAGACCAGAGAGAGACCAGGGAGAGACCAGAGAGAGACCATAGAGACCATAGAGAGACCAGAGAGGGACCATAGAGACCAGAGAGAGACCAGAGAGGGACCAGAGAGAGACCATAGAGAGACCAGAGAGAGACCATAGAGACCATAGAGAGACCAGAGAGGGACCAGAGAGAGACCATAGAGAGACCAGAGAGAGACCATAGAGACCATAGAGAGACCAGAGAGGGACCAGAGAGAGACCATAGAGAGACCAGAGAGGGACCATAGAGACCATAGAGAGACCAGAGAGGGACCATAGAGACCATAGAGAGACCAGAGAGGGACCAGAGAGAGACCATAGAGAGACCAGAGAGAGACCATAGAGAGACCAGAGAGGGACCAGAGAGAGAGACCAGAGAGAGACCAGAGAGAGACCATAGAGAGAGACCATAGAGACCATAGAGAGACCAGAGAGAGACCAGAGAGAGACCAGAGAGAGACCATAGAGAGACCAGAGAGAGAGACCATAGAGACCATAGAGAGAGACCATAGAGAGACCATAGAGAGACCAGAGAGAGACCAGAGAGAGAGACCAGAGAGAGACCATAGAGAGAGACCAGAGAGAGACCAGAGAGAGAGACCAGAGAGAGACCATAGAGAGAGACCAGAGAGAGAGACCATAGAGACCACAGAGAGACCATAGAGAGAGACCATAGAGAGACCATAGAGAGACCATAGAGAGACCAGAGAGAGACCAGAGAGAGAGACCAGAGAGAGACCAGAGAGGGACCAGAGAGAGACCAGAGAGAGACCAGAGAGAGACCAGAGAGAGACCAGAGAGAGACCAGAGAGGGACCAGAGAGAGACCAGAGAGGGACCAGAGAGAGACCAGAGAGAGACCAGAGAGAGACCAGAGAGAGACCAGAGAGAGACCAGAGAGAGACCAGAGAGAGACCAGAGAGAGACCAGAGAGAGACCAGAGAGGGACCAGAGAGAGACCAGAGAGGGACCAGAGAGAGACCAGAGAGAGATCAGAGAGAGACCAGAGAGAGACCAGAGAGAGACCAGAGAGAGGACCAGTGTAGAACCATGAATCTTCTCTGCTCTGGTCTGGACCAGTGTAAAACCATGAATCCTCTCTGCTCCGGTCTGGACCAGTGTAAAACCATGAATCCTCTCTGCTCCGGTCTGGACCAGTGTAAAACCATGAATCCTCTCTGCTCTGGTCTGGACCAGTGTAAAACCATGAATCCTCTCTGCTCTGGTCTGGACCAGTGTAAAACCATGAATCCTCTCTGCTCTGGTCAGGACCAGTGTAAAACCATGAATCCTCTCTGCTCTAGTCTGGACCAGTGTAAAACCATGAATCCTCTCTGCTCTGGTCTGGACCAGTGTAAAACCATGAATCCTCTCTGCTCTGGTCTGGACCAGTGTAAAACCATGAATCCTCTGCTCTGGTCTGGACCAGTGTAAAACCATGAACACTGAACTGCAGCAACATCTCAGGCAGAAAATAAGCAAGAAAAATAAAAATTGTAAAACACAAAAACTGTTTCACTGTTTCAGAGACACGTAAGACTTGCCGTTTCCAGCACTTTCAACCCATAATGATAAATAAATATTACATTTTGATGATCAGACGGATTGATCTTATGACTGGTAGTAATACATATTATCAAGTAATTTTAAAGATATATATTGTAGGAAGCCTACTCTTTTGAGGTTTTCATGGGGTCTGATAGCGTAATCTCACTCTGATCTATTGTACAAGGTTATAGTGGTCGGAAATTGGAGCACCTGGAGGAAACCTATGCAGACACAGGGAGAACATACAAACTGCTCACATAAGGACCTTGTCTGAAAGTGGACCCAGGACTTTCTAGGTGTGAAAAACAAGCGCTGCCCACATGACTGTCACAGGTGATACACGTCGACCTGAGAGGAGGAGAGGAAACTTCCCCTCAGATTCATCCGTGTCTGTGGACGCGTCTGTGTCTGTGTCTGTGGACGTGTCTGTGTCTGTGGACGTGTCTGTGTCTGTGGACGTGTCTGTGGACGTGTCTGTGTCTGTGGACGCGTCTGTGTCTGTGGACGCGTCTGTGTCTGTGGACGCGTCTGTGTCTGTGGACGCGTCTGTGTCTGTGGACGCGTCTGTGTCTGTGGACGCGTCTGTGTCTGTGGACGCGTCTGTGTCTGTGGACGCGTCTGTGTCTGTGGACGTGTCTGTGTCTGTGGACGTGTCTGTGTCTGTGGACGTATCTGTGGACGTGTCTGTGTCTGTGGACGCGTCTGTGTCTGTGGACGTATCTGTGTCTGTGGACGTATCTGTGGACGTGTCTGTGTCTGTGGACGCGTCTGTGTCTGTGGACGTATCTGTGTCTGTGGACGTGTCTGTGGACGTATCTGTGGACGTATCTGTGTCTGTGGACGTATCTGTGTCTGTGGACGTGTCTGTGGACGTATCTGTGGACGTATCTGTGTCTGTGGACGTATCTGTGTCTGTGGACGTGTCTGTGTCTATGATCGTGTCTGTGGACGTGTCTGTGTCCGTGTCTGTGTCTGTGTCCGTGTCTGTGATCGTGTCTGTGTACGTGTTTCCTGGAATCCTCCGCTGATCTCGTTCTTCTGGTTCTTCTGGTTCCTTTGGTTCTTCTGGTGCACACAGAGCAGCTGCAGGATCACTGCATCAAACACAGCGCAGTGAGCAGCAGGTAATAACTCTTATTTCTATGTAAGTCTAGAAGTAGAAGTAGCAGTAGTAGTAGTAGTAGTAGTAGTAGTAGTAGTAGTGGTAGTAGTAGCAGTAGCAGTGGTTGTAGTGCTAGTAGCAGCAGCATTAGCAGAAGTAGGTGTGGCAGTAGCAGTAGTAGCAGTAATAGCAGTAGTAGCAGTAGTAGCAGTAGTAGCAGTAGTAGTAGCAGGAGTATTGTGTGTCCATGAAGTAGCGGTCAGATGCAGAAGTCGGCCGTGCCCTCGGACGCCGCGCCCTCCGGCTGGGCCTGTGGAGCCGTCGGTGCTTTGTCCAGATCCAGGTCAGAAAAACATGTTTTTATTTTTGTGCCTGAGACAAATATGAACAAACCACACTGTGCTCTCTCTGTGCAGGCGCTCCATCAGGAGGTGGAGCAAAGACAAGTCCAGGTGAGAACCCTGTCCCAAACCCCGGGCCAAACCCCAGGCCAAACCCCGGGCCAAACCTCAGGCCAAACCCTGGGCCAAACCCCAGGCCAAACCCCGGGCCAAACCTCAGGCCAAACCCTGGGCCAAACCCCAGGCCAAACCCCGGGCCAAACCTCAGGCCAAACCCTGGGCCAAACCCCGGGCCAAACCTCAGGCCAAACTCCAGGCCAAACCCCAGGATAAACCCCGGGCTAAACGGGCTAAACCCCGGGCTAAACCGGGGGCCAAATCCCAGGCCAAACCCCAACACAAAAGGGTCATCTTCATCCCATTCTGCTTTGTGCAGCTCCAGTCCGTCCCAGAAAGAGTACCCCACCAGTTCAACCCGGAGGAACGAGTACCCCACCAGTCAGCCCCGGAGGAACGAGTACCCCACCAGTCAGCCCCGGAGGAACGAGTACCCCACCAGTCAGCCCCGGAGGAACGAGTACCCCACCAGTCAGCCCCGGAGGAACGAGTACCCCACCAGTCCGACTCGGGGAGAGGCGTACTTCACTGACAGGTACTGAATCTCCCTCCTTCTGTCGCCTTTGTAGCCTGTATACCGATGCATAATGCAACCCTGCTCAATGAAGTGCTCATGGTGAAGTTTGGCTCCTCTTGACTTCCATGTAAAAGTTAACTCAGAAACTGTTTTGGTCTAAATTTGTGGTTTAGTGCTTTCTGTTGAAATCTTCAATGTCTTCTGGATTTGGCCAACACTATGATGTCGTCACACTCTGGACTGAGACTCTGGACTGAGACTCTGGACTGAGACTCAGGCTGAGACTCTGGACTGAGACTCTGGACTGAGACTCGGGCTGAGACTCGGACTGAGACTCTGGACTGAGACTCTGGACTGAGACTCGAGACTGAGACTCGGGCTGAGACTCGGACTGAGACTCGGGTTGAGATTTGGGATTGAGACTCGGGATTGAGACTCGGATTGAGACTCTGGCTGAGACTCGGGATTGAGACTTGGACTGAGACTCGGGACTGAGACTCTGACTGAGACTCTGACTCAGACTTGGACCGGCAGTAAATGAGCCGAATAAATGTAAATGAATGTGTGTGTGTTTAATGTGTGTGTTTAATGTGTGTGTGTTTGATGTGTGTGTTTAATGTGGGTGTGTTTAATGTGTGTGTGTTTAATGTGTGTGTTTAATGTGTGTGTGTTTGATGTGTGTGTTTAATGTGTGTGTGATTAATGTGTGTGTTTAATGTGTGTGTGTTTGATGTGTGTGTTTGATGTGTGTGTTTAATGTGTGTGTTTAATGTGTGTGTGTTTAACGTGTGTGTTTGTGTGTTTAATGTGTGTGTGTTTAACGTGTGTGTTTAATGTGTGTGTTTAATGTGTGTGTGTTTAATGTGTGTGTTTAATGTGTGTGTGTTTAATGTGTGTGTGTTTAATGTGTGTGTTTAATGTGTGTGTGTTTGATGTGTGTGTTTAATGTGTGTGTTTAATGTGTGTGTTTAATGTGTGTGTGTTTGATGTGTGTGTTTAATGTGTGTGTGTTTGATGTGTGTGTGTTTAATGTGTGTGTGTTTAATGTGTGTGTTTAATATGTGTGTGTTTGATGTGTGTGTTTAATGTGTGTGTGTTTAATGTGTGTGTTTGATGTGTGTGTGTTTAATGTGTGTGTGTTAACTGTGTGTGTGTTTAATGTGTGTGTTTAATGTGTGTGTGTTTAATATGTGTGTGTTTAATGTGTGTGTGTTTAATGTGTGTGTTTAATGTGTGTGTTTAATGTGTGTGTGTTTAATATGTGTGTGTTTAATGTGTGTGTGTTTAATGTATGTGTTTAATGTGTGTGTGTGTTTAATGTATGTGTTTAATGTGTGTGTGTTTAATGTGTGTGCTTAATGTGTGTGTGTTTAATGTGTGTGTTTAATGTGTGTGTGTTTAATATGTGTGATTAATGTGTGTGTTTAATGTGTGTGTGTTTAATGTGTGTGTGTTTAATATGTGTGATTAATGTGTGTGTTTAATGTGTGTGTTTTATGTGTGTGTGTTTTATGTGTGTGTTTAATGTGTGTGTGTTTAATGTGTGTGTTTAATGTGTGTGTGTGTGTGATTAATGTGTGTGTTTAATGTGTGTGTGTTTAATGTGTGTGTGTTTAATATGTGTGATTAATGTGTGTGTTTAATGTGTGTGTTTTATGTGTGTGTGTTTAATGTGTGTGTGTTTAATATGTGTGATTAATGTGTGTGTTTAATGTGTGTGTTTTATGTGTGTGTGTTTTATGTGTGTGTTTAATGTGTGTTTGTTTAATGTGTGTGTTTAATGTGTGTGTGTTTTATGTGTGTGTTTAATGTGTGTGTGTTTAATGCGTGTTTAATGTGTGTGTGTTTAATGTGTGTGTGTTTGATGTGTGTGTTTAATGTTTGTGTGTTTAATGTGTGTGTTTAATGTGTGTGTGTCTAATGTGTGTGTGTTTAATGTGTGTGTGTTTGATGTGTGTGTGTTTAATGTGTGTGTGTTTAATGTGTGTGTTTAATGTGTGTGTTTAATGTGTGTGTGTTTAATGTGTGTGTGTCTAATGTGTGTGTGTTTAATGTGTGTGTGTTTAATGTGTGTGTTTAATGTGTGTGTTTAATGTGTGTGTGTTTAATGTGTGTGTTTAATGTGTGTGTGTTTAATGCGTGTGTGTGTTAAATGTGTGTGTGTTAAATGTGTGTGTTTAATGTGTGTGTGTTTATTGTGTGTGTTTACTGTGTGTGTGTTTAATGTGTGTGTTTAATGTGTGTGTGTTTGATGTGTGTGTGTTTAATGTGTGTGTGTTTATTGTGTGTGTTTAATGTGTGTGTGTTTATTGTGTGTGTTTAATGTGTGTGTGTTTAATGTGTGTGTTTAATGTGTGTGTGTTTAATGTGTGTGTTTAATGTGTGTGTGTTTAATGTGTGTGTTTACTGTGTGTGTGTTTAATGTGTGTGTTTGATGTGTGTGTGTTTAATGTGTGTGTGTTTAATGTGTGTGTTTGATGTGTGTGTGTTTAATGTGTGTTTTTAATGCGTGTGTTTGATTTTTGTGTGTTTAATGTGTGTGTGTTTAATGTGTGTGTTTGATGTGTGTGTGTTTAATGTGTGTGTGTTTAACGTGTTTAATGTGTGTGTTTAATGTGTGTGTGTTTAACGTGTTTAATGTGTGTGTTTAATGTGTGTGTTGATGTGTTTAATGTGTGTGTTTGATGTGTGTGTTTAATGTGTGTGTTTATGTGTGTGTGTTTAATGTGTGTGTGTTTGATGTGTGTGTTTAATGTGTGTGTGTTTAATGGTGTGTTAATGTGTGTGTGTTTTATGTGTGTGTTTAATGTGTGTGTTTAATGTGTGTGTGTTTGATGTGTGTGTGTTTAATGTGTGTGTGATTAATGTGTGTGTTTAATGTGTGTGTGTTTGATGTGTGTGTTTAATGTGTGTGTTTAATGTGTGTGTGTTTAATGTGTGTGTGTTTAATGTGTGTGTTTAATGTGTGTGTGTTTAATGTGTGTGTTTAATGTGTGTGTGTTTAATGTGTGTGTTTAATGTGTGTGTGTTTGATGTGTGTGTTTAATGTGTGTTTAATGTGTGTGTTATTAATGTGTGTGTGTTTAATGTGTGTGTTTAATGTGTGTGTGTTTAATGTGTGTGTGTTTAATGTGTGTGTTTAATGTGTGTGTGTTTGATGTGTGTGTTTAATGTGTGTGTGTTTAATGTGTGTGTTTGATGTGTGTGTGATTAATGTGTGTGTGTTTAATGTGTGTGTGTTTAATGTGTGTGTGTTTAATGTGTGTGTGTTAACTGTGTGTGTTTAATGTGTGTGTGTTTGATGTGTGTGTTTAATGTGTGTGTGTTTAATGTGTGTGTTTGATGTGTGTGTGTTTAATGTGTGTGTGTTTAATGTGTGTGTTTAATGTGTGTGTGTTTAATGTGTGTGTGTGTGTGTGTAATGTATGTGTTTAATGTGTGTGTGTGTGTTTGATGTGTGTGTGTTTAATGTGTGTGTGTTTAATGTGTGTGTGTGTGTGTTTAATGTGTGTGTGTTTTATGTGTGTGTTTAATGTGTGTGTGTTTAATGCGTGGTTAATGTGTGTGTGTTTAATGTTTGTGTGTTTAATGTGTGTGTGTTTGATGTGTGTGTTTAATGTTTGTGTGTTTAATGTGTGTGTGTTTAATGTGTGTGTGTTTAATGTGTGTGTTTAATGTGTGTGTGTTTAATGTGTGTGTGTTTGATGTGTGTGTTTAATGTGTGTGTGTTTGATGTGTGTGTTTAATGTGTGTGTGTTTAATGCGTGTGTGTGTTAAATGTGTGTGTGTTTAATGTGTGTGTGTTTATTGTGTGTGTTTACTGTGTGTGTGTTTAATGTGTGTGTTTAATGTGTGTGTGTTTAAATGTGTGTTAATGTGTGTGTTTAATGTGTGTGTGTTTGATGTGTGTGTGTTTAATGTGTGTGTGTTTAATGTGTGTGTGTTTAATGTGTGTGTTTAATGTGTGTGTGTTTTATGTGTGTGTTTAATGTGTGTGTGTTTAATGTGTGTGTTTAATGTGTGTGTGTTTAATGTGTGTGTGTTTGTTTAATGTGTGTGTGTTTAATGTGTGTGTGTTAATGTGTGTCTGTTTAATGTGTGTGTGTTTGATGTGTGTGTTTAATGTTTGTGTGTTTAATGTGTGTGTGTTTAATGTGTGTGTGTTTGATGTGTGTGTTTAATGTGTGTGTGTTTAATGTGTGTGTGTTTAATGTGTGTGTGTTAATGTGTGTGTGTTTAATGTGTGTGTGTTTAATGTGTGTGTTTAATGTGTGTGTTTAATGTGTGTGTGTTTAATGTGTGTGTTTAATGTGTGTGTGTTTAATGCGTGTGTGTGTTAAATGTGTGTGTGTTTAATGTGTGTGTTTAATGTGTGTGTGTGTTTATGTGTGTGTGTTTACTGTGTGTGTGTTTAATGTGTGTGTTTAATGTGTGTGTGTTTATGTGTGTGTGTTTAATGTGTGTGTGTTTATTGTGTGTGTTTAATGTGTGTGTGTTTAATGTGTGTGTTTAATGTGTGTGTGTTTAATGTGTGTGTTTAATGTGTGTGTGTTTAATGTGTGTGTTTAATGTGTGTGTGTTTGTTTAATGTGTGTGTGTGTGTGTTTAATGTGTGTGTTTAATGTGTGTGTGTGTGTGTTTGATGTGTGTGTGTTTAATGTGTGTGTGTTTAATGTGTGTGTTTGATGTGTGTGTGTTTAATGTGTGTGTGTTTAATGTGTGTGTTTGTGTGTGTTTAATGTGTGTGTTTTGTAATGTGTGTGTTTAATGTGTGTGTGTGTTTAATGTGTGTGTTTTGATGTGTGTGTGTTTAATGTGTGTGTGTGTTTAATGTGTGTGTGTTTAATGTGTGTGTTTAATGTGTGTGTTTAATGTGTGTGTTTAATGTGTAATGTGTTTAATGTGTGGGTGTGTTTAATGTGTGTGTGTTTAATGTGTGTGTGTGTATTGTGTGTTATGGTGGGTGGATGGGTGTGTAATTGGTATTTAATGTGGGTGTTTGAATGGGGGTGAGGGGAGAGGGTG